ACCCCAAGAATACTGAGACTGTCATAACTGATCTTGTTTTTCCTTGTTACAACTTCTGCCAGAAAGCTTTAAGCCAGTGTTCAGGACCTTAGAACGTGTTTTTGTGCATTAATTTTCTTGCTTCTATTTTCTTTTTGCCTGAATTTTCCCATTTTAATTATTTCAGTTCCAATTTACCCATTACACTATTTTCCTAAGCAACATAGTGTTTTAGAAATAAGGTATAATTTTTTAAATATGCCAAACATACTGACCTTTTTAGTGGTGTACAACAATGTTTTCCCTACTAGACAGTAAGCTCCAAAGGGATTTGTCTTGTTCACCTCTGGAGCTTCACATAATATGTGGCACAAAATAGATATTTGGTAAATTCGTCTAATAAATTAATGATAACTCCCTCTTTCAAATTTTTGCATCCCTGGTTTTTGTGGGTACTATTCTATCCCAGTTTTTCTTTTACTGTTCTGGCCTTGTTTCTCCTCTATAGTTGTCACTTTTTTCCTTGCCTCCAAATTTCAGAGTTTCTCAGGGTTTGTTCTTCATTTGCAGCTCTGTTTACTCTTTGTACATACCTGGATAACCTAAACCCAGGGTTCCAGTTATTATTACCGGTATGTTGAAGACTCATAAACCTGTACGTCCAGCTTAGACCTACAGCCTACATCCTAGGCATATGTATGCAGCTGACTATTGGGCAGCTTCATTTGGATCTGTGAGTTAACTTCCAACAGCATAGCCTAAGCATTTTCCCCCCTAAAGCTGTTCCTACTTTAGTATTTCCTATGGTCATCAATGACACCTTCATCTCCTGGTCACTCATGGCAGGAATCCTAGACTCTTAATTTACCCATAAATTCAATCAGCTACCCAAATCTTAGAGATTCAACCCCCCAAATATCTCGACACACATTCAGACACATGGACATTTCAGCAAACCAATCATTTATAACAGCATGAAAGTGGAACAGTCCACATAACCCCAAATAGAAAAATGGTTAAGTAGCAGTCTCTTGGGGTTTTTAAAAAAACTATTTAATGACATGGAAAATATGAGAGAAATTAGGATACCTTGTTTCATCAGATTTTGTATATATGTCCATAGAAAAAAGTGGTAGTCTTCTTTCTGGTAGCTGTATTGTGTTAGTAGTAAATAAGTACTAGTAAGTTCCATCCTCCTAGGGGGCTTTGCATTAGCTCCTCTGTGGAATGTTTTTCCCATTCTTTGCCTAATTCCTAAATGCATATACTTTGGATCTCATTCAGCCTGAATATTATTTCCTCGGGAAGTCCTCCCATTTTCTTCTATCTAAAAACCTTAGACATGCACTTTTGGGCATAATGGACATATTCTCATAGTAACTTGGACTTTTCATTCATTTCACTTACCAGTTTGAATTTATGTATCTTCGTTATTTCTTGAATGTCAGCCTCCCTCCCTTGACTACAGGCTCTATAAGAGTAGGCTTATGCTTTCTTTCTTCATTTCTGTATCTCCAGCACCTAGTATAGTACCCAGCATATTTATTGAAAGAATGAATGAACTATATCAATGGTTTTTAAAGCATGTGTGATGCAGTGTGTTATGCGCCATAGTAAGGGACTGAGGGAAATGTCAGCAGCTGCCCATTCCCAGGTCATTTTTTATTTGGGTTAAGTACTGGATTCTGCTATAAGATTGTGTCTGTAAAAGGAATGCCCATGTTAACAGGGAATATCGAGGTCCCCGAAATGTGGGGGTAGTAATCCCCCACTAACGAGGCTGGGGGAAGGGGAAGTGAAGCAGGGCCATTGAGAGTTACTTTGCCTATCTAGAGAACCTGGCCAGTGTTTAGTAATAGCTGTGCCTGCCAAGGTTAGAGCCAGGGAGATGGGTGTGACTCCAACCTGAGATGCCAGGAGGTACAGTAGTCCCCGGGGTTGCTGCACCTGCATAAGAGCAGGAAGGCCATTCCCTGTATCACAGGGTCGAGCCTGCCCACACTAACAATGGCAGCCAAGAAAGACAGAAGAGACCAGAGTATTGGCAGGTGTAACCCTTTGTGGGAGGAGTTGGAAATGGGGTTATAGAGGAAGATCCAGGCTGGGAAAAAAACCCAAGCGCAGGGCAACCATGCTCTCTTAGCCATATGGGGGTCTCTAGAAATTTGGCTTAGAAAGGAGGAAAGCAGGATGTAGCAGCTGGTGCGAGGTCTCTTGACCATGTGACTTGGGTGCAGGCTCTTGGCCACAGTTTGAAAGGATGCAGAAGGACCGCACCAGCCCACCATGAGGAGGGACCATGCGGTTTTGGATTAAGAGGCAGAGTCTAGCCAAGCACGCACAACTTGGAGAAGCTGGAACATTAAAATGGGAATCTGCCCAGCTATGATACAGACTTCTATTTTTTTTCCTGAGAGAGAGTGCCTCTGATTGGCATGGTTTGGCAAGGGAGGCAGGACCTGTGTGTGTTTGTGGGTGGTTTTTTTTTTTGTCTTTAAGGGAGTGAGATTTGATGGGAGAATTCTGCCATTATTTTAATCCTGTATAACTTTTGAATAAATAGTTTCTTTCATTTTTATAAGACTGTGGCATTGGGAATCATGGGTCTTTTCTGTCAGCAGGCAGTAGAACCCAGAGTGGTTCTGTTTCATCAGTGCTTCAGAAAATATCATACAAACCCCTGAATTAGATGATCTTAAGACTTTTCCACCCTCAGTATTCTGTGATCCTAGATGAAAATAAGAAGGGCCATACAGGGGTATATTTCAGGAGTGGTCTTTGCTAAAGAGGTTGGCAGTAGTTCATTTTGCCAAGAACAGGGAAACTCCTCTTTCCCTCTTAGATAATTGAAAATCTGAGGACCTCTTATCACTTTCTATTCATTTAGGCCTAGAGTTTTCTCTCTTTGAATACCTTCTTTGCCATCAATAAACTGGTCTTTTTCCCTCACTCCTTTAGGACATGCTCCAAAGACACTAAGTCCAGTCACTTGGGGCTAACTTGTAGTTCCCCTCTCATATCCCCAACACACTCATTCATCAGTTTCCTCAGCTGAGAATGGTGTTTCTTCTCTGCTTTGCAAAGTCATTCTGTAACTCAAAAAGCCTTGTAAAAGGCCTTTTCTAGGCCTTCCTGTTCCCAATATACTTTATTTATATCTCTACACAGAACTTTCTGCAGTTCGAACTTAGGCCTATTTTCTCATCAGAAAAATGTGAATAGTGTCACAAGCTGGGTTCCCAAAAAAGCAGACTGTTACTTGATGAATGTGCAGATTTATTAGAAAATACTCTTGGGGTCATCACTGGTGAGAGGGCAGGGAAGAAGAATGGGATAGAGGGTGAAGTTGAGCTATGATACAGTTTTAACCTCAGGCTGTTACAGGTTGTCCTGGAGATGGGATGATCCATCAGAAGTGTCCCAAGTTCGGACAAGAGGGCTGGGCCTTTTAACCATCCTAAGACAGATACTATTCATACCTTTGAGTTGATTAGTTATTGGATGTGGCCCTTTGGTAGGGGGTAACATTATACATTATGCCAGAAGGGGGCCAACAGCTGATGGCTGTCTGTGGGCAACTCTCTTGGCTGTTGGGGTAGTAAGCCCATCATTCTTGAAGGGGATCTGAGAAGTGCCCACCCCTAACAGTATCTATCTCAGGGTCATTAGCAAATCTAAAATAGGAAAAGGTATAAACAGTACATAGCATATTACCTGACACAGGACACAAGAAGTTGTTATGGTTATTATAAAAAGAACTTGGCTCTATAATCATATAGAACAAGGTAGGAAAACCTTGTTTCATTTATTTTTGCGACTAGGCCACTAGGGCCTGGAACCAATTAGATTCAGTAAAGGCCTCTTGAAGTGTTAATATACAAATATACTTGTTGCCCTTTGTCTTGAAGCAGATGTTTTGAGTTGAACTCTCAACCAAAACAAATATAAAAAGCCATTTCAACAGTAACATTTTTAGCAAAATAAAGACACACACATATTTACTTAACTGGGGAAAAAAGTTCCAAAGCCAAAAGGGACAAAATCAATGCAGCAGTACTTGACGACTGCAGAATAGCTTCAGATAAAATGGCGTGTACCACTGGGTTTTATGTTTTGGAATATAATCTTCAAACTGTACACAGGGAAGGAGATTAGCTCAGCTCTTTAATAGCTGATAAATGTAAGGTCCTCAATGGAACTAAACTCAAAGTAACCACCATCAGTGTGTGTTGGGCTTTATTTTCCTGCATGCTGAATATAGCTCATTTAGTTTAAATAGACTGACTGAACACTGCTTTGTGCCAGACACAAATCTGGGGATATAGCAATGAGCACAAGTTAAAAGTCCTGCCTCTAAGGATCTCACTTATGTGGTGGCTGGTGATCGACACCTAAAGTCTGTAAAGGATAACTCACTAAGCTGATAAAGAGCGTGAGAGCAATGGTGCAAATGTGCTCTTGCGGTAGGGTAAGTCTCAGACGTTGACCTTTGAGAAGGGGCTTGAAAGATGCATTGAACATCCACGAGTTAAAAGAAAACTGGAGGACGTGTTCTTGCTAGAGTGAACAGCAAGCGCAAAGCCCTAAAGTGGATTGAGCCTGCGTGTTGTAGGCACACGGGGAAAGCCAGAGGGGATAGCGAGGGGTGGGCGTGCAGTTGGGGATGAGGTAGGTAGGAACATATATAATATATGTACAGATAGTTTCCTAGCCTGAGACCACACTGCTAAGGGAGCTAGGGTGTACAAATTTCTCAAGAGGCCACATAGGGATGAAGCATATTTCCAACAGCAGAGCTAATGGGACGCCTTTCCTACTGGGGTAGGACCAAGTTAGACTATCTAAAGGGATGTACTGTGTCCGGCCCTCAGATCAATCCTCGCTCGGGGGCGGGGGCGGATGGCGCGGACAGACTTCTGCAGTCCCCCGCCAGCCGGTGCTGCATCTGCTGTAGTTACCAGTAGGCGGTGTAGTGAGCACGCCTGCAGCCGGCGCCGCCCGCCAGTCCCAGCGAGAAGGAGAAAGGAGGGGACCGGAAGGAGCCGCTGGTGCTGAGGGAAGTGGCAGGAGCGGGAGGCGGGGACCCACCTGGAAGCGCCGTGGCCCCGCTGTCGAGCTTCCTGCGGCGACGGCTACCCGAGCAATTGCTGTGGCGGGGGCGGAGAGCGGCCACGACAGCGGCACCTCCCCGAGTGGCCCGCGGCCACTAGCCCCGCGAGAAAGGTGAGCAGGCGCTCTGGGCACGTGGTGAGGGCCAGGAGCGGGGGAGGGAAGATGGGAGAGGAGGTGGGAACCCAGGATACGTTTAGCTCTGGGACCCGGATTTGGAGTCGAGTGTTGGCGGGGGGGGGGGGGGGCTGGAAACGGCGGCGGCGGCGGCGACGGCGAAGCCCCCACGTGGGGTAGGGGTGCGCGCGCACGTGTGTTTGGGCGACTAGTGGGGCGGGGAGGGCAACGGACGCGCGCTCGACTGTAGCGGCCCACGTGATGGGCTCGGAGAGAATCTGCCTCCACGTGACAGGCTGGCTGAGGCTGGGGAATGCTGTGTTAATATAACCATATAACCGGTCAACAGAGATTTTAGAATTTTTTGCCACTTTTCTTTTATACTAGGGGAAATGAGAAATGCAACGCGGAAAAGACTTCCTGCTCTTTCTCTGTTTTACACGTTCTTCAGTTTATTAATGAAGCACTTTTTAACTCCCAAACTACTGGTTTTCTTGTACCGCCATGTTGTTCTGGAGGAAACTCGCGAGATGCCAGTGGGTTCGTATCGCGAGATCTCTCGATTCTCGCGGGACCTTGTTGGCTGAGCGGTTGTCCTGGATGGCGGAGCCTTGGGTTCCGGGGGCTTGGGACCCGCAACTCTTTGTACAAGGCAAGTTGTTAGGGAGGGGCCGGGAGCGAGTGCCTCTTGGTGCTGGGAGACGCGTTGTGTTAGATTCCTGTAGTCTTGAAGGGAATATGTTGACCCCTTTGAAGCAAAACGGCCTTCTTTCCCCCACCCTTCCCCTCCGCCGGCGCTACGCCACCTGCAGTGTGCATCTCTCAGCCGGGGCACCTCTCCCCGGCGCAATAATAGTTCCACTCCGTCCCAACTCACTGGAAGTCTGGAGTTGTGCTCGCGCAGACATGACGGTTCCATTGGATACTGTTCCTCATACTTTTAAACGTTCTTGTCAGTTATTCTCCTTGTTGCCATTTTCTATAGAATTCCAGACCTATTAACCATTCTGTCGCTTGTTTCTTCCGTGGTACCTTTCTCCATTGGCCGTTCGCAGATGCCCAAAACAGAGCGCCTTTCATTTCTTCTCTCTGGATATCATTTACTCCCATTTATTTGGACATTGATAATTTCCCCGTGACATTATATTACTTTTTATTTACAATAACTTTTGGTAGTGTTTGGAAGGGACCCTTTATGTCTCTGACAATACTTGATGTCAGAATAAAATTACTTTTTTAATCTTTTTGTACGTACGTGCTTTTTTACTCATAATTATCGGTAAGATTTAGATTACTACTGTGTTGCGAGGTTGCCTTTTTTGATCAGGAGTGGTTGTTTTAGGTTGCATGTTTAAGGTAATAGTGGATGTTTTAAGTCAAATTTTTAATTAAAATCAAACTTTGTAACTTGTGGTATCAAAATTTGAGTTCAGTTTTTCTTAAATGAGTTTGACATCAAATTGAATTTTCTCCAACTCTAATGTCTTATAAAAAATGAATGTACAGTAGACTTTTCATATTCTTCAGCATTGTTTGGATTTATTTAGTATTCTTAGTGGGAAATTAATTATAAAACTAATCAGATAACTAAATAACCCATAACTTTTTTTAAACTACAAAAGTGATACTTGCCTCTTCTACACTTATTACAGAAAAGTATACAGAAAGTAAAAAATTCCGTTACACTCGACCAAATTGCCTTCTCCATTCTTGAATTTCTGTGACCACTCTCAGTGATGGCTATATATTTTAGATATTTTCCATGTATTAGTTTTCTTCATGAAGAGAAGGAAGTGGAGGGATGTTATATTAATATACACTATCAACAATATTAGCAATCATAAACTTTTTCCTGCTCATTTTTATGTAGTGTTATATGCATATTGTCTTGACTCATGCATTCTTGCTATAAAAATAAATTTTTTGTACAGATTTTTGTGAAAATATCTTGAAGGATAGCACAATTATTTTTGTGCTAGAGATTTAGTATGCTGGTACCTTTGTAAAAATAAAGTTCACATAAAATAGGATTTAAAGAAATAAATACTTGTGTTTGCTTTGGTAGCACGTATACTAAAGAAATAAATATCTTGTGGTTGGGGTTTATATTTTTATGTTAAATGTTTGTGTTATATATTTACCGTTATATTCATTTTTATATTTTATAATACTTAACAAATTCTAAACTATAACCCAAGTATGTATATAGGAGTTTTTCAGAAGTTTTACAAGTTATGCTCAATTAAAATAATAGTTCTGACCATGCAATGTAGTGAGCTTAACAGGTGAGTGACTGATAATAGGAGTAGTTAATAAAAATATACTCAAAAGTTGCTGAGCAGCAATTTTACAATAGTTTTTTGTATTTTTTTCTTTCAAACTTTCCAGCAATATTATTTATTAGATCTTTCACATAAGAAAAATGTTTGCTATTTTTGGGCAGTGTGGCTTTTCTATTGTAATAATTTGGGTAAAAATATTGGTTATACCCTGGCTAGTGTGGCTCAGTGGATTGAGCACCAACCTGAGAACCGAAAATATTGGTTATACTTGATGTGGGAAAGGGGTAAAGGAGACATGGGTTGATACTGAAATGAAATTGGGAAAGTTGCAGAGCAAAAAGGAAGATAGAAGGTTGACAGAGCCCTGGTCCAGGAATAGGGAGGCACATGATGGTTGTTGCAGGGCAACCTGGGTTGACCAAAATTTGGAATCAGTGTTTGAGGCGATTTTTTCCTCTTAAATAATTTTTTCAGAGTTTTCAGTCCTCCCCCCAAATTGCTTGATAATATATCGTCTGTCAAAAAGTCAGCAGCCGAAGTTGGTATTTAATTGAAATTTTACTTAGGTGTAGACCTTGTTAACCAACATTTATTGAATACATTTTATTATTTTTAAAGGTAGGAAATTGTGAAAATTACAGTGGATTCAAAGGTCACGGTTGTAATGGCCTTTGCAAAGGTATCTGCGAAGTTTTGCTTCGTGGGCCTTTGGTAGTTCTTGGTTGCACCTCATCCTCACAATACTATATGTTCCATACTCTAACAACTTTGTTTTATAAACTATTAATACTTTTGGTAGTGGATTTTGGGAATTAGTGGTCTTTTACAGGCTGGTGCATGCTAAATTTTCTAAGAGACTTGGTAAGGAATATCCTCAGAAAATCCAAGGAAGAGGAGAAATGTTTCTCACATGATTTGAGTTTGCTTGAGTATAACTTAACCAAGAAATTTTATTTTGCTTTTTCTCAGCTATTAGTGTCATATTACTGATAGCTAATGAGCTTCAGTAATCAGAAAAGGAACAATAGTGATAATATAATACTGATTTGTCCTCACCTGGATGTTTTTCTTAAGGTCTAACAGAATGCTAATTTTTGTAGACTTGTAACTTGGTTAACTACACAGGGTAGAACCTGTGTTACCTATTAATTGTATGAAGAATATAAATTTTAGCCCTGGCTGGTGTGGCTCAGTGGATTGAGCATCGGCCAGGGAACCAAAAGGTTACTAGTTCGATTCCTGATGAGGGCACATGTCTGGGTTGCTGGCCAGGTCCCTGGTTTGGGGGCCTGTTGAGATGCAACTGCTTGATGTTTCTCTCCCTCTCTCAATTCCTCCTTTCCCCTCTCTCAGATAAATAAAATCTGTAATTTTTAAAAAATATGTATTTATTGTATTTCTTCTTCTTCAATCAGTGTCCAAGGGAGATTGCAGTAAATTACTTGACCAGGAACCTCAGTAAAAGTATGTTGCAGGTGCTTTAAAAAAAACTAATTTCATATGAAAATTTAGTCTGGATTTAACTACAAAGAATACTTGCTAAAAAATATTTTTATTCTTATTTTTTTAAGATTTTTATTTATTTACCTTTTTTTAGAGTGGAAGGGAGAGAGAAAGAAAGGGAGAGAAACAAATATCCATGTGAGAGAGAGACATTATCAGTTGTCTCTCGCTGGTCCCCAGCTGGGGGTCTGACCTGCAACCCAGGCATGTGCCTTGACTGGAATCGAACTGGTGACCTCTTGGTTTGTGGGATGATGCTCAACCCTCTAAGCCAGGATGGTCAGGGCAAGACTTTTTGATTTTTAAAGCAGTATTAACTATAGATGTGGTACACACTGCAGTGCACATTTTGTAGTTAATACTCTGATAACCACTATAATTATATTTTAAAAAACACTACATTAAATATTTCCCAAAGTCCTAAGCCTTTACTTTTAAAACCATGGAATATCGACTTCAGTGTTCATTTGAACTTGTCCTCTTACTTCTTTCTGTTTTTTTGTTTGTTTGTTTTTGTTTTTGTTTTTTTAGCTGCTTTCATTTACTTGGGTAATTCTTGTCAGAGACAAGTGAGTTGAGTAACTTTTTTGAGGAGACTTAAATACATATTCAGTTACTTTATTATATATTATTTTTGGAATTCCATTATATTAGCAATTCAAGGACATTTTGAGTGCCAGTGACGCCAGCTACTTGAAACAGCAGGAATCTTGAGCCCTAAAAATAACTGTTTTGATCAAGTACAATAATCTTAAGATCTTTGTTCAGAAACTACTAATTGGAGTAAATAACTTGAAATTTTGTAGTCCTATCAGGATTGGTTATCTGATTTTTTTTTTTTTTTTAGCTCACAGATTATAATCCACAGAATTGGCAATTGGAGTTAGGCACACTGACAGCTGAAATGTCTGTCATCTTATTTCAAGGGAAGAGGAAGAAGAGCTATTAAAAAGAAGATGGAACTGTGGAAGTTAATAGTGTTTTAAGGCCATTACATGGAGTCATACAGTTGTATATCATTAACTTCTGAGCAAATCCCAATGTAGTAGAGGTGTATACATGATGTGTTGCAGTGATGACCTCAGTCATAAGTAAACTTTTACTCCATGTACTGTGTTTAAGGAAATAAGAAATTGGTGTCTTTTTAAAAGATTTTTATCTGAGTAAACATTTTCAAAGCTTTGTTAATGCATTTTATGCATTAATGCATCT